GTGGTGGAGGGCGCCGCCGCTACCGCCCGCGCCCGCGCCTCTGCCGGCGTACCGAGCCGAGACTCCCAGAGAGCCGTTGGACAGGCTCCTGACCGGGCCGGCATCGGGCCGCTTGAAGTTGGCCCCGGACTTGGCCAGCGAAAAGCCGCCTCCGAGAGCGAGACCGGACCCTCCGGCGCTGGGGGCGCCCTGCCTCGGCTGCGACCCCGCCTCGGCGGACTGCTGGTAGTAGGGGCTGCTCTGAGGGAGATGGCTCGAGGGTCGGCTGGCCGCCTTGCCCTTGGGCGATGTGGAAGGTGCGGTCGCGGCGGCCGCAGCTGCCGGCTTAGACACCGGCGAGCTCGATCGAGACCTGGATCTGGACCTCGATCGCTGCTCGCTCACCGTCGCCGCGGGGCTCTCCTCTTTGATCTCGTTGCGGGCGCCGCCGCTGGGCGACGTCGACAGGCCCATGGTGGCCCGGAAGGCCGCAATCGACTCCGACAGGTCCTTGGAGCCTTGGCTGCCCGAGGGGTGGCGCGTTCGACCGTCGGGAAGGAGGCCGGGGATCGACGCCGACGACGAGTCGGCCGTCTTGTCGCTCGTCGACCTCGTCCTCTCGGCGTGGTCCGGGAAGGGCGAGAGGCCGTGGCCCGTGTCTGGATTGGCCATCGACATGGCACGAGCTCGCGACGATGCGCCGGCGGAAGGATGCTGGGTCCTGCCGTCGGGCAGCAGGCCGAGACCCTGCGGCGGGGCCGCCGGAGCGTCGGGCTTCTCGAGCGCGGAGATGCCCTCGCCGTGCGAGATCGAGTGCGACTTCTGGTGCCTGAAGCGGGGCCTCTCGGCCGCTGCAGCGGGGGCGCGCTGCTTTGCGAGCTCGCTCCCGCTCGCTTCCGTGGGCATCGCCGAGTGGAGGTGGGCAAAGGAACGAGCGAAGCTCATCGCGCGGCGACGCGGCTGGCGATGACCATCGAACAGCGACGAGGGCGTGGGCGAGTGGCCGTGGGAAGATGCGCCGTAAGGATGGGGATGATCCGCTCGCAGCGCCTTGTCCCTGGTGTCGTGGAGCTGCTGGCGATGGTGGTGGCCTTGCTGCTGATCGGGACGGTGGTGGTGGTGACGAGCGTGCTCGCCTCCACCGCCGGCGGGTGCGAGCAGGCTGAGCCTCCTCGGATGCGAAAACGACGTCGACGCCGCCGACGAGGGGTCGACCGCGCCGGGCGAGAGGGCAGATCCTCCGCGCTGCGGCCCCGCCGGCGACATGACTCCGGTCGGCAGCGGCGAAGAGGGATTCGAGGTGCGGCCGCCCATTCCGGGCGAGAGGCTGGACGTGCTGGGCGAACGCGCGCCGTGCTGGGGGCCGGCCTGGATGCGGAGGCCGGCAAACTTGCCCGAGTAGGAGCGAGGGCGTGTCGCAGGAACGGCGCCTGCCTTGGGCGGCTCCTCCATGATGTCGGCCAGCGGCTCTCCGAGGTGGAGCGAGGGCGACGAGGGCGAGGTGATCTGGTCGCGGAGCGCTCGCGGCGACAGCGACGGTGCGTCGAGGCTCGCCTCGGCGTGGTCGTCGTGCATCGAGGGTCGGCGCAGCTTGCCCACCGGCTGCTTGTAGTAGCTCGGAGGCAGCTCGTAGAGGGCTCGGACATCGACCTCGACGCTGCTCGACGACGGGAGCGCCTCGGAGATGGGCGTGGCGGGCTCGGATCCGGGGCTGTCGCTGCCGCCGTCGGAGCGGGCGTCGCCATCGGCCCAGCTGTCGTAGCGCACGACCGAGGCGTGGGCCGAGGCGTCGAGCAGGAGACCGTCGGCGCCGAGGCAGCGCTGCAGCTGGCCCCACAGCTCGGCGGAGCGGTCCATGATGATGGTCTCGAGGCGGACGAGCCAGTCCTCGTCGTCGAGGATGGCGCGGTCGGTGCCGACGAGGATCTCGAGCAGCTCGTCCCACGCCTCGCTGATGCCGCGGCGCGTGGGCTGCTGCAGCGAGCCGCCAAAGACGCGGCAGAGGCGTTGGAGCAGCGGCTCGTTTGTCTTTGTGTCAAAGAGGAGCTCCTCGACCTCGGTGGGGCGGTCGATGAAGGGGAGGAGGATGCCGTCGTCGGTGACGGCGTGGACGTTGACGGCTTCGTCGTTGCCACCTTGGGGGCTTGCCTGATGCTGACCGAGGCCGGCAAAGGAACCGGCAAAGCGGCCACCGCCGCGGTTGCTGGCGGCGGGTGGTTGCGGGCCGGCGGGCTTGGAGACGATGGGGTTGTGGGCGCTGATGTGGGCGCCGGCGATGCCCTTGAAGATGGTGAGCGAGCAGCTCGGGCTGCGGCGGCGATGGGCGGCGACATCGACCGAGAGCTGCGACGAGCTGGCGGGGCGCAGCGTGTCCTGCGAGTGCAGCTGCGGGCGAGCGGGCGAGGATATGGGGAGGGCCATGATGGTGATTGTGAGGTCAGGGGGAGTGCACGAGCTTGGGCGGACGAGCGATGGCGACGATGGGGCGCTGAGGCGGCCGTTCGTTGACGAAGCGTACGATACGGACGGGCGCCTCCTCGCTGACTAGATGGGGCGCTGTTCTGGGGCAACGAAGAGAGCGGCCGGACGGTGGTGGGTCACGACGACGGATCTGCTTGGCGCCTGGCTGCGAGGTGGATGGTTGCTGTTGGCGACGAGAACAAGGCTGGCTCGTCGAGAGTTGGGCTGGGGCAGAGAGCGGCCAAAGGACGAGGCGAGGACGGTGGTGGTGGTGGTGGTGGTGGTAGTCGAGGGAGCGAGCGGGAAGAAGAGGCGGGGCAAGTCGACCGACGACGTGGACCCCGTCCGAGCCTGGTTGCTTTTGAGGATGGCTGGCGGGGAGCGAGGCAGGGGGAGGGGAGGGGGGGTGACGAGGTGGCTGAGCGAGGGGTCGGTTGTCGGGCAGGGGAGAGCGGAGTGAGCGTGGTGGCTGGCCCCCCACCGACAGAAAGAAAGCTCGAGAAGCAGCCACGGCACAGCGGCCAGGCGAGGCCAGGCGAGGCCAGATCAGGGTCAACCATCCAACCAACCAAGCAAAGGCAGGGTCGTGGCCGGCCACAGGCAAGCGTGGCCGGGGCTGTGCCGTCGGAGCTCGCCCGCCCGCCAAGCCGGTTCTGGATGGCGGGGAGGGAGCGAGGCCAGGCGGCTGTCAGGCTGGGCGGATTGGCCCAGGTCTCGCTCGGCTGTTCCGTCGCCCTAGCCTCCTCCCGAAGCAGTCGGCCGGTCCGTCCGTCCGCCCGTACGTCTGCCTCCCTCCCTCACTCCTGCCATCCAACTCGGCGAGCAGGCGCCCGGGGGAGGGGCGGGGGCGACCAGAAGGCTGACTGGTGGCTGAGCAGCGTACGTGCTTTGTTGCCCTGCCTATCACGCATACCGACCGTTGCCAGCTTGGTTCGAGATGAGTGAGGGAGATGCGGGCGACGGCCGCTGTGACGTTTGTCGGCCCGCCCGCCTGCCCGTCGTCAGACCGTACGTTCGTTGTCGTTGCTCGAAGCAAGCCACCTTTGCTCCACCAAAGCGAACAAGGCAGCAGAACCAAGCCAACGCCACGCTCGTCGCAACCGCCCAACCAGCGTCGCCAGGCCAGGCCAGGTTGCGCTGCGCCACCGTACCGCACCACCGGCCTCATCAGCAGGCCAGACGAGCTGACGGACGGTCGTACGGGCGATGATCCACCCAGCCCTAGCCTAGCCCAGCCTAGCCTAGCTAGCCTCTCGCTCGGCCTGCCTGGAGGACAGCTGCCAGGCTGACTGAGTCGGAAATCTGCCTGCTTGCTTGCTTGCTTGCTTGCTTGCTTGCTTGCTTGCGTGCGCTGCTCCCTTTCGAGCTAGCTGCGCTGGGCCGAGCTGCGATGCGGCTTGGGGGTGGAGGCACGAGGACCCGCCTGCCTGCCTGCCTGGCTGCCTCTGCTCGGATGGTGGGGGACCCTGCGTGTGTGCTGCTGCCTGCCTGCTTGCTTCTCTGCGCGGCTGTATGTGTCGCTGCAACCGATCATGCACGGATACGCAACCAAGTGTGGCGCAACCACTCAGCCTGCCTGGCAGACGTGGCCGCCCGACCCTAGCCTCCTGCCTGGGCTGGGCTGGGCTGCGCTGGGTTAGGCACGACAAGCAAGCAGCAGCAGCTGAGACACACGCACGCGCACACCTACCGCCAGCAGAAGATCGAGGTCTGCAGGGCCTGGCCTGGCGGGCTGGCGGGCTGGCTTCCGACCCGAACCTTCCAGCCCGCTTCGGAACCGACCGACCGACCGACCGACCGAGTACGCTCGCTCGCTCGTTCGGTCCGGGGATTCGGTCCGATGCCATCCTCTCTGTCCTCACCTTGATCCCGTTTCTCAGCCAACGAGGTCCTTCATCGTGTCGCAGTCCTCACGCACACACACACACACACACACAGAAAGAGAGAGGTCGCACCTTGCTGTACAGCGGGATCGACCGATCCGAATCTGCTGCACGTGCGTCTTGCTTCATCCTTCACACCTCGGCGATGCGATGCGAGGCCTTCGAAGAACGTAACGCCACCATGACACCGAGCCCTAGCCCCCTTCCTAGCCCGCAGCCTCCTTCCTCGGTCCCTCCGTCCGTCGTACGTGTGCCTCCAAAGCCGAATCTATCGTAGAATTTTTTTTCCGATCTTTCCAGAAAAATCCACCCCCCCCCCCCCCCCCGCGGCTCCCGGACGGGCGTCACTTCGGACCGGATCTGTGCCTTGCCCAGGCGATGCCGTGCCGTGTCGTGCCGTGCCGTGTAGAATCGCCTTCGGAACAGAAGGTGCCCCCTCCTGGCTTGGTACGCGGAGCCTTAGCTAGCTTGCCTGCCTGGTCGCTGCTGCCTGGTCCGGCCCACAGCCCAAAGGCGCGGGTGTTCCGCGCTGCTAGACGGCCCTAACGAGTGTGAGAGAGTACAGTCAGGCTGGCAGGGTGACAGGCAGGCAGCCAAACGATTTCGAGGGTCGCGACCAACCCAACTCGAGATGCACCGCACACACACCATCAGTCGACAGACATCATCGCCCGTTCGTGCGCGCGTGCGTACGTCTGCCTCGAGTTCGAGGCTAGGACAGGACAGGCTAGGCAAGGCTAGGCAAGGCAGGAATTCTTACTCATTGCCAAACGACACCGTACCGTATCACAATTGAAGCGCAACGACCGACGCCTGGCTCGTTGACTTCGCAACGCATGCTCCTGGACACCACGTCCCACCGTACCGTGTCCCATCCGTACCGGACCATCCGTGCCGTGTCGTGACGATAGGACCTCCTCGGGGCGACTTCCATGCTTTTCTCTTTGCCGCACCCCAGCATCCTAGGCGGCCTGAAGTCCTCCACCCTTCGTCCGCCAGTCCGCCCCCTGCAGTCGCGCCTCTTGCCGTCGCGCTTCCGCAACCCTGTCTGCGTCGCCACCTCGCCACCTCGCCCCACGTCTAGGTGACCTTCTTGCGCTCGTCCATCGAGAAGCCGCCCGGTCCCATGTTGACGAGGAGCAGCAGGCCGCCGACAATCGAGAGCGTCTGGAAGAAGTCGTAGCGCAGGAAGTCGCGCGACGGGTGGAGCGAGTGGACCGTCCAGAAGTTGTTGACAAACAGGTTGAAGACGCTCAGCAGCAGCACCAGGAAGCTGGCGCTCCAGCGCGCCTTGAAGCCGACGGCCACCATGACGCACGCGCCCAGGCCGAGGATCGACACCAGCACCCGCGCCACCGACCACGTGCCCTGGATGATGAAGCCGATAAACAGGAAGATGAGCAGCACTCGGCCGGCCAGCTGCGCGGGGTGGGCCGGGGAAGTGCAAAAGGGGCAGGTTGCAACGAGCAGGTCCGTCAGTGGTGGTCCCACACGCCCGTGACCTCACGCCCCCAGCCTCGCGCCTCCTGTCGTCGCCAGCGCCACCAGCGTGCCCACCGGACTCACCTGGAAGTAGATCTTCCTGTCCGTCTCGCTCATCGAGGGCAGGCCGGCAAAGATCGTCTTCTTGGCCGACAGGCTGTCGGACAGCACCATCAGCAGGCCGCCAATGACCGACAGGTTGCGCAGGAAAAAGTTGATGTCAAAGATGAGGCCGTAGCCGAATCCCTGGACGACGACGACGCCCAGCAGCGCTCCGACCGAGATCTCGGGGTACTTTCGGGTGATGACGGCCACCGACGCCGCGATCATGACCTGCGACGGCGGCAAGGGTGTGCAAAAGAGCAGAAAGGCGCCTCTGTCAGCGATCCGGCCGACGTCGACGCAAGGGCGCCATTCTAGGCCACCTGCTAGCTACCCGGAGTAGGTCAGGCACGCCCTCGCCATCCCGGCGGAGCAGGGTCCCAGCCGCTCCCGGCGCGCGCCGCCACGCTGCTACTCACCACGACGTTGGCGATGAGGAAAATGTGGCTGATGCCCCAGGGAAAGTGCCTGTGGCGCTGGAGGTAGTACTTCTGGTCGGACCATTGCGTGACGATTCGGAGCGCGTCCTCGAGGAAGGTGACGACAATCAGGAAGCGGCCGAGCGCAGGGAGGTGGGGCTTGATCGGCTGCGTGTAGGTGTCGATCAGGTCCTCGACCTTGGACGTGTACTCGCGGACCTTGTCGAGCGGCGAGTCATTCGACGGTCGCGAGCCGGACGCCGCATATGGAGACTGTCCGTACGAGGCCATCTTGCGAGTCTGCAGCGGCGGCCCAGAAGTAGCAGGGACAGCACAGCCGTTCACGCGGGCGTGACGGAGGCAGCAGCGATGGGAGAGGGATCGTTGCGAGTAAGAGGCACAAGGGGACCGAGAGTGGCAGGTTTGAGCGCGGTCAGTCAGTCTGCTCGACAGCGCTGCCAGACGTTCGATGGACGTCGATCCCGCACGCGCCGGCCGTCGCATGCGCTCCGGCACCCGTCCTGCTCGAGCGGCGAGGGGAAAAGAGAGTCTCTCTGTCCGCCAGTCGCGGATCGAGGGACCGGTAGGCTGACCTCATCGACGGACTCCAGGCACGCTGTGCGGCTGGCAGATCGAGTCTGCGCAGCGCGTCCAAGCGCCGCAGCAACGCAGCGAAGCTCACCTGTTCGGAGCGACCTCAGCAGCGGTGCGCGTTTGCGGGCGAAGAGAGTGCGACGGATGCGACAGCCAAGCTTCCGTTCGATGGGGAGCAAACAACGGGAGCCTGCAAAGAGACCAGGGCGAGGAAGGGTAAGCGGTCGGATGCCGGTGCTGTGCGCGGTCTTGACGAGAGCGAAAGAGGCTGCGACGCGGCTTGGAGGGTATTCGGATGGCGTGCGGTTGGTTGATGGAGGTGGTAGAGAGAGAGGTGAGGGTGCTGGGCAGCGGGCAGAGGGGAGCTCGGGGACAGCGAGCGAGGAGCAGGCAGGTTGCGCGTTGTTCGCGGGTCGGAAAGGTTACGCACGATGGGATGCCAGCGAGCCCCGGGCTTGAAAACAAGGCAGATCGAGCAGCAGCAGCAGCCAACGCAGCGGCGGGGAGCGATGCAAAGGCGAGAACAAAGACAGCTGGCGGGGCGGGGCGGGCCCAGGGTCAGGGCCAGGGCGAGCCAGCCAGGCGAAAATGCTGGAGGGTGCCCGATGCGAGCGCGAGCACGAGCCAGCCCAGCCCAGCCAGGCCTGGCCAGGCCAAGCCAAGCAGAGCGGGCAAAGGGACATGCGCCTCGGTGCGCTGGCACGCCCCTCGTCGCCTCGTCGGCCCACCTACCTGTACCCACAGCCAAGCCCGCCTGCCCGCCTGCTCGCTGGCGTGCTGTCACCACCACCTTGAGTGAGCGAAGCGGGCTCTCGACCCGACCTGCTGGCTCGTTAGCGATAGCCGTGCGAAGCCTCCTGGCGTTGACTTGCTTCCCACCCTGCGGCCGCTGCCAGCTGGCTCATTACCCGCGCAGGCAGGCAGGCAGGCAGGCGGGTCGAGAAGAACCGACGCAGCCATGACCTGGAACCTCTGAACTGAGGTGCACGCAACGGTAGCCGAGCGCCGGCGAGCGGGCGGTCGACCCAAAGCTAGGCAGGCTCCGTGCATCGATTCGCCAGCGCCAGCGCCTGCACCTTGCAGGCTTTGCATGCCTGTCCCGATCCAGCTTCCGCGGCGAAACCTCACCATCGGGCATCCTCACCACGATGTTCTTGATCGGGCATATCGAAAACCGCTGTCGCACCCACCAAAACTGAGCCGCTCTCTGAACGCAAACGTCTATGTTCGTCCCTTCCTGCCTTTGCGTCGGCAGGTGCCGCCCTCTACCTGCAGTGGCAATGGTACGCAGGGGGCGAGAGAGCTACAGCAGAGTCGGCCGTCAGCCGACAGCGTGCGACGGACCGAGCTGCTCCCGCGCGCCGTCTATAATCATATGGCTCGAGACCGGCTCGCTCCGACCCAGGAGCAGCCGACCCTGCCAAACAGCCCAAAGAGGCGCCAACGCAGACGGACGGCAGCTGGATGGGCGAGAATCGGGTGGCCGACGCCTCATGCCAGCTTGACCGTCGAGGGCGCCTCAAACACTGATCTGCCGGCCTTGAGGTTCGTGTACCACCGCAGGTAGGCTGCCAGAGAGCGAGAGAGGCGCGACGAAAGGCGTTTACGGCACGAGGTGCGAGTCAGTGCCGGAAGGCAAAAGAGAGCGCGGGAGAGAAAGGCAAGGCAAGGCAAGGCAAGCAGGCCTGGGCCCGGGCCCGACACTCACCTTCGTTGACCACCAGCGTGAGGACCGTGTGCGGGGCGATGCGCAGGAGGTGCGCCGTCGTGCCCTTGTACCAGCCCAGCACTCCCTCGGCCTTGGCCGTCAGGTACAGGCAGTGGATCGGGTTGCGGTACAGCGTCCCGACGCTCCGTCCGCGCTCTGCGTAGGGCGCGCGTCGAAGGAAGAGGGTGAGAAAGAGGGACGAGGCAAGCATCCGCGATGCGGTGTCAGCCGGCGATGGCCTAGAGATCCTCGTCGCTTACTCTCCTTTGCAGTCATCTCTGCGCGGCCATCGGGCACCTCGGGAGGACGTCTGCGCAACTCACCATCGATGCGGACCGGCTGGTTGTACATCCGGGTCAGTGCCGTGTCTGCCGGCTGCATGACGGCGCACACGCACAGGCCGCTGAAGACGGAAGAGGCGAGGTACGTGGTGAAGGCGTCTGGCCGGCCCGCGAGCACGCGCAGCGGGTTGTACCGGTTGGCCGGCGAGTCGACGTCCATCTCGGTGAGGTACTGCTTGAACCAGTTGTACGCCGGCAGCTGCACCGTGCTGCCCATGGCCGTCCGCAGCACCGCGGCGTCGATGCCGCGCGCCAACCCGCGGGGCCCCTCGGCGCGAAAGATGGTCGCCAGGCCATCAAACGTGCTCTTGTAGTTGTGCGACGCTTTGCCAATCACCATAAAGGGGCTGTAGGCCTGCATCCGCGCCTTGATTAGAAAGAGCGGGTTGCCGAGGATGGCTGCGTGGCCGAGGGCATGGGACGAGAAGGGAGGGGAAGGGAAGGGAGCAGCAGGGTCAGTCGCGGGGCTCGTCAGGCGCAGGCAGCTTCAGCCAGCCAAAAAAGGAGCTTTCCTGGGCGAGAGAGCAGCAGAAGCGGCAGCAGTCTGCCTGCGACTCACCACCCACGCAGCCGCTGCTGGCACCGGCAGCGAAGGCACCGGGCGCCCACTTTTCGTCGGCCGACCTCCCCGAGGCGCGGTTGATGGCTCTCCGGAAGGGCTCGTAGAAGCCAAGGCGGCTGCCGTTGAGCAGGACCTGGTAGATGTAGGCCGCGCCGATGCCGCGCTGGACGCCGCGGACGCCCTCGGCCTTGAACGTCTTGGCAAAGCAGTCGAGCGACGACTTGTAGAGCCGTGCGCCAGCGGCCTGGGCGGCGCCCGTCTGGGGCGCTGCTGAGCCCGCCTGCGCCGAGAGGACTCTTGGGGCGGCGGCCATCAGCTCGCCCTGGAGCTGCATCCTCGTCTTGCAGACCTCCATGGGATTCGTGACTGGCGACCGCAGGGCAAGGGGCAGAAGCAGAGGACGGAACGAGAAGGAGAGCATCAGCATCGATGCCAGGCGCGTGCGGGCTGGGCACCTGCACGGCACTCACCGGTCACGCTACGGGATCCAGGGGGGAAGAGAGGATGTCCGCCAGTCAGCTTCCGAGTCTCAGCACAGAGGGCAGAGGCTGCGGGCGACGAGACCAGCGATGCTCACGCAGTCATGGCAGCGAGTGCGCCGACGGTGAAGGACTCAGCCGTCGAGATCCTGACGGGCGCCGCGGCGCCTTGTGTTGTCGACATGGTTTGTGTGTGTGTGTGCGAGAGAGAGAGAGAGAGAGAGCGCACGTGTGCGTGGGCGGTACGTGGGCCGATCTCTGTGCGCTTTCCGGCGGTTTCTGTTGCCGACGTCGGCGTTTCTCTGTGGGCTGCTGACCTAGTGTGCGTGCGGTGCGCGGGTGCGGTTGCTGTTCTATCGAGCAGGGCTTATTGCGGCGGCGAAAGATGCGACGGGTGCAGCGACGGCGGTGGACGTTTCCAGGTGCGAGATGGACGGGTGATGTTGTCAAACGGGGGTGTGCAAGAGACTGTAGGCGATGATCGGCCGCCAGCGAAGTTGAAGAGAAGACGATACCAGAAAGCCAAGGGGAAGGAAGAAGAGACGGGCGGCCAGGGAAGAAGAGACGGGCGGGAAGTGAAGAAATGCGGGGAAGGAAGCAAGATGTGCGGGCCAGCGGGTGGGCCGCCTCGTCCTGAGGCCGAGTACGTGTCGGTCCAGCCGACCGGAAGCTCTTCGGTGACGTGAAGTCCAACCCGGCCCCGGGGTCGGCCAGGACGGCCAGGACGGCGGGCCCAAAGCGGCCAGCCAGACAGCCAGGCGGCTGGTCAGCCCGCCAGCCGAGGACTTCTTCGCGGCAGGGCCCCGACCCCCGCTCGGCCTTATCGGCTGGTCGGAGCCGAAGTGGGCCGCTCGGCCTCTCGCCATGGCTTTTTGGCCAGCCGTGATGGGGGTCGATGGCGTCCCACGATGCCAACATTGCCGGCACAGCTTGACCAGCGGAAGGGGCTGAGAGCGTACCGACTCTCTCCCTGTCTAGTCGTGTCGACATCGCAGGGTCACCAAGCTGTCTAGAAGGGCTCTGCGCGAGGCCACGGCAAAGTACGGAACCTGCCTGCGACGCCCAGACGAGGCTCGATCGAGCTGCGTTGGCTGGGTGGCCGTCCAGGCCGAGGCCGGGGCTCGTCCTTTCGTCGTCGAGGATGCTTGGCGACGGAGTCGAGCTCAGCGCAGGCGACGGATTAGAGGAAGGGTACGTGTCCCGCCTTGGCAAACGCAGCAGGTCGACCATGCAGCAGCGGCTGTCCGGAATTTGGCGGCGACGGCCACGTAGCCGTGCGGGGAGGACGATGGTCGCCATCGCCTGGCTCCAGCCCTTGGGCCGAACAAGGCCTGCCCGCAGCCGCCACAAAGGCTGCTCGAAGCAAGCAAGGATGATGTCCCCCCCCCGAGGCACAGAACTGGCCCGAGATGGAATGGCAACGAGTCGTCCAGCAGGCCGGCTACCCTCGCCGGTCCGCCGTCGGCGCCAGAGGGATCGATGGGGGCCGAAGCGCTGCATCCAGGCGTCGATGCCGGCGTCACACGCAGGCAGACGAGGCGACGCCCTTGGTCGGGTTGCTGGGCAGACATCGATGGCGTTGCCTGCGCCGACGAGAGCAGGCAGGCAGGCCCCGGGCAGACAGCCGTCCGGGCCCTCTGCCTGGACAAGAGACGTCGGAGGCCGCTGCCGGAGTCGAAGCAGCAGCGCAGCGCAGCCCAGCATGAAGCCGTCCGTCCGCACCTGCTGGCGCCTGGCCCTTGCTCTGCTCTGCTCTGCTTTCTTGCTTCTGACTTTTTGCAAATTGGACCCTGGCTGGCAAAACGCGCGCGCGGGGGAGAGCCCCGCTGGCCAGCGCTTCTACCCACAGGCAGGCAGGCCAGGCCTGTTTGCGTCTGGCGCGCTCTCGGCTGTCGCGCAAAGCTGCCTCGCTGGAGACAAACACCGTACCGTACCTGCTGGCTGGCTGGGCCACCTCGGCGGCAGCACACCAAGAGGGGCGGTCACAAGGCAGCCAGGCCCAGCCAGACCAGGCCAATTTGTGGCGCCACTGCCGCGACGCCAACGGCCTCGAGCGCTCCAGAGTTAGCTCGTCGTTGGCGCACCACGACGGGCGATGAATGGCGAAGAGGGCCTCGGACACCAGACCCCACCCGCATCATCACCCATCATGGTTACGTTTGCGCTGGCGGCGGCAGTCCGGCAGCCCGACAGCCCGATGTGGCTGGCGGCGGCTTGGCGGGGCTGGGCTGGACTGGCGAGGCGACGACGCTGGAATAGAATTCCAGTCAACGGGCGCCCGCTGCACCTTGACTACCTGGCTGACGGCCTTGGGCGGTGCAATACAAACCCGAAGCGGGCTCCACTAGCCTGTTACTGCGCCTTGGGGCCTAGCTTTGTATTTCTGCCAAATTGGCCGGGCGGCCGCGCTGGCCTGGCCTGGCCTGAGGCCTGGGCCTGGCTTTGTGTTTGTGTGGTGCGTGCTCGCTCGCCCGGACGCTAAGGCTGGCCCCTGCAAAGACCCCTGTCTGACGCCCATCGCCTCGCCCTCGAAAGCGTCGTGGGCCCCCCTCCCCATCATCATCCCATCACCGACCATCAGCCATCATCCATCCCCGGCATCGCGGCATCGCCATCGCCCTCGCCATCGCCCTCTCCCTCGCCGCCGCCGCCGCTGTACACCCTCTTGCCCTCGCTCTTGTCCGCCACCATCACCATCACCGCCACCGACAGCGCTGCTTTCTTCCTCCTCCGCATCTTGCCTTGCCCATCTTTCTACGCTCCATCATCTGCGACATACCCAGCCATTCTCGTTTCGGCACACAAGACCCCCTCCTTCGCTGCCCTCGTATCAACCTTCCTGCACCGGGATAGCCAGCGCGCCATCTCGGCGTCCTCGCTTCAACAACCTCCAGGCGACTGATAGCGACCGATACCAAGCCGCTGAGCACCAGACCCAGCCACGCCATAGGCCACCGCACCATCGTCCCACCAAGGAGCACCGCCGTAGAACAGCCAAGACCACGCCAATAGCCAGCTCAGTCTCTTCTCCGCCAGCATGATGGTGAGATTCTTGCAGCGTGCCAGGATCCCACCTCGTCTCTGCCGTCGTCCACGGCGAAATGCCCGTGAGCTGACCCCTTCACCTCTGCCCAACACACTCTCGCTGCGCTGCCGACCTTAGGACCCTTCGCAAGGAGCGGATCCAGAGGATTACTACGTCAAGCAGGACCGCATCGGAAAGGGCTCCTTTGGGTGAGTCAAGACTCGTCGCTGCCCGTCGCTGCCCGTCGCTGCCCGTCCAGCCTCTGTCTGGTCCAGCATAGCGTCACTACTGCACCGGCCGCTCAAGGATGCTGACCTCGTCTTGCTGCGTCACTTTCACGTCCTTCGACTCCCGACCCCTACAGAGAGGTGTACAAGGGCTTCGACAAGCGATCCAGGCAGCCGGTGGCCATCAAGATCATCGACCTCGAAAACGCAGAGGATGAGATCGACGACATCCAGCAGGAAATCGCCATCCTCAGCCAGCTAGACAGCGCCCACGTCACAAAGTGAGTCGAACCGCGACCCTTGCGCCGGTCCTACGGCGTGTGCCACTCTCCGTGCTGCGTCGGACCTGAGCCGAGCTGACCGGAGCAATTGCTGCTGCCGCTGCCGCCGCTGCCGCTTTGCTTCTCGCTGCACCGCAGATACCATGGCTCGTGGCTCAAAGGCACGAATCTCTGGATCGTCATGGAGTACTGCTCCGGAGGGAGCTGCTCGGACCTGGTAAGTCACGGACTGGTGGCATCGCCAATGGCGGGCTCGTTGGACTGACGGGCCCGACATCTCCGCGTGCAACGACACCGCCTCGCAGATGAAGCCGGGGAGGTTCCGCGAAGACTACATTGCCATCGTGGTGCGCGAGCTGCTGCGCGGGCTCGAGTACCTCCACGGCGAAGGCAAGCTCCACCGCGACATCAAGGCGGCCAACATCCTCCTCTCGGCCTCGGGCGATGTCAAGCTGGCCGACTTCGGCGTCTCGGGCCAGCTGACGGCGACCATGACCAAGAAGAACACGTTTGTCGGCACACCGTACTGGATGAGCCCAGAGGTCATCAAGCAGAGCGGCTACGACTTCAAGGCCGACATCTGGTCGCTCGGCATCACCGCGATAGAGCTGGCCATGGGCGAGCCGCCGTACGCCGATCTGCATCCGATGAAGGTGAGTGCGTTTGGCTGCTGCGGCGCGGCGGCGAGCCGTTGCTGGCCGAGCGTGGCCGCCGCCAAAGTGGGCCGAGCCGCGGCGGGACAGGCAGCCCTGCAGCGGACCGATGGTGCGTGCTTGCTGACAGGCTCCTCGTACCTCACTTTGCCCTGGCATCGCCGCCCGATCGCCCTCCCTCAGGTCCTCTTCCTGATCCCCAAGAACCCTCCACCACAGCTCGATGCCTCGTTCTCGAAGCCGTTCCGCGAGTTTGTCAGCCTCTGCCTGCAGCGCGACCCTGCCAACCGGCCGTCGGCCAAGGAGCTGCTCAAGCACCGCTTCATCCGCGGCGCGAAAAAGACCTTCTACCTCACCGAGCTCATCGAGCGGCTCGAGAGGTGGAGGGCCGAGGGCGGCGACCGCCACGAGTCCGAGGAGAGCGAGGAGGCCGACGACGACTACGACGAGGGCCAGGAGGACAACTGGGACTTTGGCACCGTCCGCCACACGATGCGCAGGGGCGGCGGCCGCGGCACCGTGGCGATGCGAATGCCCGCCAGCGACATGACGGCGGCAGCGGCGGCGGTCAACGGCGGCGGAGGCGCAGCAAATGGCGGAGGCAAGGAGCTTCCGAGCGTGCCTGCGGGCTCCTCGCACCTCGGCATCAAGGCCGACGGCCGTTTCGACACCGGCGGCTCGGCAGGGTCCGGCGGTTCCGGATCCGGCTCGCTCGGCGGAACGGTGCGGCTGGGCGCGGCTGCGGGCCGGCCAGGCATCCCCACAGGACAAGGTCAAGGCGACCATCCAGCGTCTTCGTCACCGCGGCTATCTGCGGCCGAGGCGTACGACAAGGCGATAGGTGCCGGCAACGGCGCGGCTGGGATCCAGAGTCGAGACTTTGCCGGTGCGGCAGCGGGTGGCGGCGGCGGTAGCGGGCGAAGGAGGCGGACAGGCAGCGAGATCGACGACTACGACGAGCGTTACGGCTACGACCAGCGGGCCGGCGGTGCGGCGACATCATCGGCGGCGGCCGCAGGGTACGATCAGGGCCTGGTGGAGGAGGAAAGGAGGCGGATCGAGGAGATGCACCTCCACGGCGGCGATGACAGCAGCCGGCGCGGGAGAGGTCGCAGCGACGAGGGCGAAGACCCGGGACAGCCGAGGGCTACGAGGCCCGGCGGACGCTTGACGGCGCTCGACACGGTGTTCCTGCCCGTCATTGAGCAGGTGAGTGAGAGGGCGACGGCGACGGCACGCTGGCCACCCCGGCACTGTCCTTTCATGTTCCATCTGCTGCATCCGAGACGGAAAACGAGCTGACCTCTGTCGTCCCGCTCTGCTGCTCTGCTGCTCTGCCACCTTGCCGCTCTGCCGCGCTTCCCTCTCCTCCATCCGCGCGCCACGCCGTGCCGCAGCTCAATGTGGCGGTGCAAGGGCGTCAGGACGCGCTGCGGACGCTGGCCAACCTGCGCATCTCGCTCGAGCAGGCCGAAATGGTGACGCCGGGCATCATGAACGCGTTTGCCGTCGAGCTCTTCCACACCATGGCCGAGGTCGAGGGGGACCGCGAGCACGACGACGGCGACGGCGGCGACGACGACGACGACGACGATGGCGGTCCGGCTGGGTGGGAGCAGTAGAAGCTTGGGCATGGCGCGCGCTTCTTGGTTGGTGCGCGAGCAAGGCCTGCGTTGGGCCGCGTTGCCTGCCCATCCACACCTTCCTCGGCCCATCGGTCCGTCAGTCCCTTGATCCCGTCGCTCTGTCACTCTGCTCCATATCCATCTCCATATCCATCTCCATTCCATCTCCATCTCCATCTCCATCTCCATCTCCATCTCCATCTCCATCTCCATCTCCATCTTCCGTCTCCATCTCCAGCTCGATCGTCATCTCCATCTCCACCACATCGTTTCCTCGTCCACATGTAGCGTCACACGCAGACTCCATCCCGCACCCCACCATATTCCACGATCCATATCGATTCCCCGCTCGCCCGTCTTGGGGCCCGCGTGATTATCGACCCTCTTGATTTCGTTGCACCTCGGCAGAGTTGGGCGGGCGGACAGGCGGGTCGGGGCGGCTGAGGGATCTCTTCGTGTATCTCTGCGGAGCAGGGGAGTCTGCGCTTCGATCGTCGCTCCTCGCCCCCGCTCTCACTCATCCCACCGTCCCTCTGCGACCCTCTGCAACCTCTCACCGCCCACCCCGACCCAATCCACCGCAACACCCAATACCTGCATCCTCTCGATCCCCACCTTTAAAGCCGCGACATCAGCCACCATCTGTCGCTTCATCCTCTCTCCGACTTGATCCACTTCACCTCCCTCTTCCCTGCCCGATGCACCACCCCTCGACGACGACGACGACGAAAAGAGGGACGAGGCAAACGACGCAATCCCCCCACCCGCGGAGCCCGCGCCGGTCGATGCGGCACCGCGCTTAAGACGGCGTAGCGATTCGTGGTTCTTGTGCATCGTCTGGAGCGACGTTGCGTACCGCCCGCACAGGTCCGAGAGGACGTGCGAGACCCAGTCCCGCTTGAGGTGCGGCGGCAGGTGCACGGCCGCTGCTGCTGCTGCTGCTGCTGCTTTGCCGCCGCTGTCGCTGCTGCTGGCCTTTGGCTGCGGCGGAGACAGGCCAAAGTAGACGTGCAGCGGTCGAAGCATCTGCTCGACAAACGGCGAGGGTTCCACCTTGGCCCCTCCTCCTCCTCCCCCCGTCCCCGGTCCCGTCGAGGAGGCGGGGGCGGTGCGGTACTGGGTCGAAGAGACGCTGCGCACCAGCCGCAGCGGGTCGCAGCACCGCGTGCGCAGCAGCGACGTGACGGCGCGCCCGATCTGGTCAATGAGCGAGGCGCGGTACGACAGGGCCTCGTCGAGCGTCGAACGGAGGAGCGACACGAGCTCCTCGTCGCCCGCCCGCTCAGCCTCGCTCCGCCCGTCGACGTCGATGCCGTGGAAGAGGCGCGGCCGCACCTCGCCGTCAAAGATGGACTGCACCGCCTCGCACAGGTGCGACAGGTCCACGGCGATGCAGGTGAGGTGGTGCAGCGTCGCGTCGTCCGTCGATGCGTCGCGCGCGTGCTCGCCGCT